TTCTCTAAATGACATATTCCAAAAAATTTTCTTGGTAAACTTCTGTTATTCTGATCTTGGAACACTCAGTAGAAATTCTCTTGAAATGAACTGTATTTGAAAATTGCTCTGAATTTCTGATCTTCCTTGAAAATTTTCCACAAAATTTGAGAAAAATTCTTCTCAGCTAAGTATTGTTCCAAATTCGTTTGAAATTATCCTCAGAATTCCATGAATTAGATATGATCTTAGAATTTTCTTTAAATTCTTTTCAGAATATGCCACTCCTTGAATTGTTTTGCTCCCAGAGATTTTTTTCAATTGCTTATCAGTAATTCTTCAAAAAATTTCATGTAATTCGTTCTCCTAGAATCATTTTCATTTGTTTAACAAGTCTTGGAATTCAGTACCCTTTAAATTCTTTTTGGAATGCTTTCGAATAATCTTTAGGATTATCTAAGGTTGTTTCCAAGTTTTTGATTTTATTTAACATCCAGATGATTGGTAGTGAATTTCTTCAAGCAATTGTGTGCTTATTCTCAAATTTACTAATTTGCTAATGCCAAAGAAAAGGATATAGACAGAGGCAGGCTTGCCAAAAGCTCCATCAAGAGTCATCAATAAGCTGAGCTCAAGCATATATTGATGATGATATATTTTGCTCTCTCAAGCTGGGCTCTTGCCAACCCGCACCGCTGAGAGAGATGCGGAGCTCGTTCTCGGGTGTACATCGACTCTGCCTACCGAGCAGAAATTTTAGCTTTGTGATGCGCTCGCGCAAAGCAGTAAACTTGGAGCTTCGTGATGTGTTCGTAGAGGCCTAGGCTATTGATGGCTTCTCCCAGTGCGCATGAATGAGTGATTTTGTATTGTATTCAAGAAAGAAGTGCACAACCAAGAAAAGAAAAAAAAACATTATGGAACGAATGCATATATGCATAAAATTTGATTTGCGTTTCTGCAACATCTTGTAACCAACTGAACGGCTATGAATGCTGAACCAACAATTTAAATAGGCGGTACAACCAAACGTAAACAATGGCTTTAAGGGGAAGTTTAACGCCCCGAAAAAAAAAATCGACACGTTTTTATTTTTCTTAAAATGTTGGGAAACATTATCAAAAATCCAAGAAAATCAGTTTCTTCCTTAGATTCTGGAAAAAAAATTACATGTAAACATATTTTTTCTATCTCATCATGAAAAAAAAATGGAATCTCAGCAAAACGCAAAAGTCGATGTTTTGTGGTTTTTTGAGTCCAACTTTATGATGACTTAAAAATATATTTTTTTACCTGAATTTTCATTAGAAAATTAGAAAAAAAATGATTTTTTTAGATTTTTGATATCTTTTCCAAATTTTAGAAAAATCGAAACGTTATTTTTTTCGGAGCCGTAAACTTCCCCTTAAACACAAATTCCTCGAAAATCAAAGCACATCCAAACAATCTAACACCATCATTTGAAAGAGCAAACTTCCTTTATTGAATGGCAATTTTAGTTTACGGGGTAGTGTTTTGATTCTCGAGAATTTTATGTTTAAAGCCATTGCTTAGGTTGGGTTGTTCCACCTATTTCAATTATTGATCCAGAAAGATTTTCGAGCTACCGTATGTGCAGCGAGGGCAGCGAATTGAATCAATGACATGTTAAAAGGCAACAGGAGAATACGAAAACATCACCAAGGGATAATCGATAAACGGAGTAATTAGTGCTTTTACTTGTTTTTCCCTCGCATATTCTAAGTCAGAAATATAATTTAGTTTATCCACTCTTAAAGCACTTAGCGGAAAAAACGATCAAAGATTTTTGTGACTAAGTTTGAGTAACCCAAAAAGTGATCCCCAAGTAAACAAAAAAACATCAATATGTCAAAATGTTACGTTCTCTGGGAATGGTCCTATAGTCCATTGAATGTATTGTTCTGTACCATAATATTGAATGGAAGAATCGGGCATCAATCATAGGCCGTGCGTGCTCTCTCCGAATGCATAACGAAGCTCTATATTTACGGTTTCATCGAGTCCATGCCGAAGTTCAAAATGTTGTTTGGTGAGCAGAGACGAAGTCATCGTGATGCTTGTTTGTGGAAGTCCAGCTTGAGCATCAATCTGAGCTCGAGCTCTTTTGCGCTCTTTGGATTTGACATCATTGCCCTTTATATGTGAGGGATGAACTAGCTCACGATGAATGAGCATCTATACGGCATAATCCCAGTTCTAGGAGTTTAGACAAGCCTGGACAGAGGAAAACAAGCTGAAGATTGTTGATCGCATAAAAAATAAAAAATTCTCTTATGAAAGCCTAAGAAATTATCGCTAGAATTCACCTAGATTTATCCTTATAATTATCATGAGTACTCTTCAGAACTATCTTGAAATTATTTTTAGCAGTTATGTGCGAAACTCCCGTGGATTGATTTTTTCACAATCCCTTTGATTTAGTCCACGAATCGTTTTTTAGTTGTCATCAAAGTTCGCCTGGAATTTTTCTCAAAACTTCTAAGAAAATTCTTCAAAAAACTACGTGCTTGAAAAAACTTAAAATTCAAAAAATTTTCAAAATATCCGAAAGTCTAGATTCTTCTATTCCTATGTTTAAAAATGCAGTTTCTTTCCTTTTTTGCAATGTCAGACACCTGAAATATTTCTCTAAGTCGCAATTCTTGGAAAATTTTAATAAACCCCAGAATCTTGAAGATTTTGTCTGCAAAATGTTTTTTCGTTGTCCGAAGTATTGAAATGCTTTTCCTTAAATTTTTATGAAGAGCTGTGAGTGTGTTGGTTTATTTCCTTTAAATTCCGTTATAATTGCTTATCTTTGGTCAGATACGCGTATTTCGTCTACTACTTGCAGACTTCATCAGTGCCAAGTACTCAACATCACCAACACCAGTGGTGTTGAGTACTAGGCTCTAATGAGGTCTGCAAGTAGTAGACGAAATACGCGTATCTGTCAAAAGATAAGCAATTATAACGGAATTTAAAGGAAATAAACCAACACACTCAAAGCTCTTCATAAAGAGATTCCGTTAAGAGGTCCAACAAATTTGAATTTTTTAAATTTTAATTAATTTCAAGTATTCCAAAAAATATCTTAGATTTATCTATACTATAATTAATCACACTATAATTATTTCACTTGCAAAGTTTTGAGTTAAAGCTTGAACATTTGTCAAGAATATTGAACTTATAAAAAAAAAAACGTGTTGATGAGTTAAGGGAGGGGGTGCCGTGGCCCTCCCCTGTCCTCTCTGACTGCGCCTATGCAGGTATTTCTGAGTAAAAGTCCATGAAAGCTTTGATGAAAATTCTAAGGGAGTGCTACAGAGAATTAAATGAAAATTCTGAGGATAATTCCAAAACAATTATGTGGACTATTGAAAAGCAATTCTGAAGAGTTAAAAAACCGAGCCGGGGAGTTCAATGAAGAAATGCCAGCGAAATTCAAGGAGCATTTCATAGAATTTCTGGGAGCATTTCGAAGGAATTCTAAGCAGAAGTTAAAGGGAATTCTGAATATAATTCCATGAGAATTATGGAAAAATACTTGTTGGAAATGTAATGACAATTTTCATGAAAATTCTGAACAGAATTCTAAGAGTCATATTAAGAAAATTGAAGAAAATTATTACGAAATTAGAAGATAACAATAAAGAAATATGAATAGAATTGCAAAGTGACTTGGAATAGATTTCTGTAGAGAATTTCTAGAAGCTTATGAAGAACATTATGAGGAAATACAAGCAATACATTAGGTAAACGAAAAACGCGACGGGGGGTTTGACTTCCCTAAATCTCACGTGCCGTACTTAATGCATGCTCCCTATTGGAAATTCCTAGATGCTGTTTGATTTAATGATTCAGATTTATGTTTACAGCGAATTTGTTTTTCCTTTAAAGAAAATTTCGAATTTCATTATTGTATTTACATCAGCGTAATTAAATGTCCGATCTGGATTCAATTCAATAAAATTCTGAAGCACTCTGTTACCGATAAACTAGGACCGAGAGGTATAGGTATATTTTCATAGGTATATCCAAGAGGGATGATTTCAGCATTGGATTATTTTTACCATACAAGTAGAACAGAATATCATTCTTATTTTCAAATGTATAAGCTTTATTTGTATATGCTTAATGTCCCTAATGTCAGTCTAAGTATCCTTAATATTGCGCCAAACCTAAATTTCGAAGGATAGCATTTTTTTGTTTTCAAATATTAATTCGTACTATCCAGATGACGTATTTTTCTAATACAAATTTAAGAGCAGAAGATTTTTATCGATGGCCCCATCGATAGATCCATAGGTCAACATTAGAGCCGTTTCCCCTATATATCAATAATTGTTAACAGCATAGCAAAGCAAAACAAGGCACAGAACATGTCGCACCTCAACACTTCTGAGCTCTTTTAATTGCTCTCGCAGTAGGTACCAGGTTTCCCGGTGCAAAAGCAATTAATTTCACGCAAAATAAAAGTTGTTCCAAATAGCAAAAAAAACCAAATGTCAAAAGCACGGCAGAAGCGATGGTAAAAGCCAAATATTTGCCCATTTGCACAAAAAAAAAACAGTCTGCATGATGCAGCTTTTGACTTTTGCTTGTCCAATTTCTCATTTTTGTGCTTCTGTGCAGTGCGGCCCATGGACGTCAACGAACTTTTGCCAGAATGGAAAAAATAGGTGGATGTCTCTTCCGGATACTTACCGACTGCAGTAGTCATCGGAAGAATGATTCATGATGGTTGGGTAAAGTTTTTTTTTTAATGTGTTTATGTGGTGATGGATTGATTTTTTTTTGGTTGGAGCAAATTGCGGGCAAAAAGAGGGGATAAAGTTGAGAAATTGTTAAAACATGTGACCGTAGGTAAATTGTTTGCATCTATGTATGTGAAATTAATTGGAATTTTGAATGAATGAAGTGATTGTTTTACTGCTTGCCACAGTAAGTAAATGGCGAATGTACGATTTAAAACGGAGAAAATAACATCTACATAAATGGTAGCAGGACGGATGACTCACCATTTCAGCAAGAGCGGAAATGACCTTGCCTAGGGTGGTCAAGCTCTTGTTGATGTTGGCACCTTCCTTGAGGCGAGTGCCCTTGGCACCGGTCGAATCCGCCCGCTCGGAGCCGGCCAAATCGACCAAACTGATTTTGGAGACCTTTTCCGTCTCTAGACTAGTCATCTTATCGAGACGCCTTTGTGTAAAGAATATTGTAAACACAGCATGCGAACGGGAGCTCGTTTCATTCATATTGGTAGCAGCAACAGTTCTGTTACGTTACCATTTCGTAGTGAACCAGAGTGAGAGCAGGAAAAGAAACATCAAATCACCATTAGTCGTTCGTTAGTTCAGTTAGTGGATATAACTCAAACGACAACGCCAGAGGATGATTAATTACCTTGCTTTGTTGCCTTCGTCGATTAGGTCGTGTATGTCCTCATAGGATGTCACAGCTAATTTCGACAAATCCTCTACATACGGCCCGAGTAGTGGATGTTCACGCACTTTCAGGTTTCCTTTATTCTTAGGGTTCAACAAATCTCGCACCCTTTCGCAATAGATCTCCATATAGGACACTTCAACCGAATACTTCAGATCTACGGTTTCTGTGTCCTGTATCCGATAGAATAGGTCTTTGCAAATCATCGGAATGACACCCTCTTGATTTTCCTCCTGCTTGCCCATCATTGTGTAGGACTTTCCAGCACCTGTCTGGCCGTATGCAAATATACATACGTTGTATCCATCGAAGGAATGCTGAAGCATCTCTTCACCGATATCGGAGTATACCATTGCTTGGGTCGAAAAGTCTGAATCCCGTGGCTGAAAACAAGGAAGGGAAAAACACTCATTAATTCCATATCACCGGAGGCACACCTCTTTCCCTTGTTGAAACCTACATCATGTGACCAGTACGAGTAGTCGTAGTTGAACCGTTTGACCGATTCGCTAGTACCCGGTGGGACCTTTGGGTTCGTGATACAGGTCGTATTTCCGGTCATTTCGATGATACATTTTGAATCCCGAGTAATCTCACGAGAATTGAAGGGTCGCACTCGGACCGCCACCTTTACGGACGACATGACGGCGAGAGGGCCCCTCCTAGGCCCGCTAGGACTCCTTTACCGAACTGTAAATACAATAATAAGAAGAAACGGACAAGATGAGTAATACAATTATATTTGATTGAATTTGTAGACATAGAAGATTTCATCCTGTTGGAAGAACCACGCTGCTGCTAGCCAACCGTGTGAATAATTAGATTGAAACTTTTTGTGTCCGGTTGCAGCTATTTTTAGCCGCTTGATGGGAGCCTGTAGCCAAATGAAATGAGGATAAACAGACAGCGTAGACTCCATGTCTGATGGAAGATTCGATAGCGTAGACACATGACGTAATAAATTAACCATAGGAGATATGTTGCCGCTCAAATTGACAGCGATTGTGTGGAAAGTGGATCCCCAATGTGGAAATTCAATCAAGGTAGCCCATCTTTTGTTTGCTTTCCATTAATTCTATGTTTGCGCGAACAGTTTCGCAGACTGGACCCAACTGAGATGGTATCGATTCGACCCGAAACGGAATGAGAATGCTTTCAGAAGAACTGTAGTGAGGTTTGAAATTATAGGAATCGTTTGAGAAAAATTTGATTTTTTTTTATTTCAGCCAGGATTAGGTACTTACTCGGTTAAATTTCTATCCAATCTTTTATATTTTACGGAAAATTACAAGACAAAAAAAAACAACCAAAAAATCAATCAGACAACCCACACCGTTCGTTTTTGCTCACTCTCTCACATATTTAATAGTCGCTATCGACCGAACTGAGCGAGATTTGAAGACTGTGATTTTAGATCCATTTAAAAAAAAACACCGGTCAGTTAATAACACAAAAGAGTAGCCAATAGTCAAAACAAAAATAGTTACGTTACGCATTTCTCACGATCTATAACCTGTGAATTTTTCTTGGAATTGATGTATTTCTTTTAAGCGTTCATCACTGTTGGCTGACATGAAAGAGAGAAAGGTTATTATGTTGAAAACCAGACAAGTGCTCTTCTGTAAACAGTTTCTTATTTTACCGTTAGAATAGTGCGATTGGACGACTACGAAGAAGAAAGATCTGAAAGTACGGATCGGGATTACCGCTAGGAGAGTGCGATGGGCCGTCCATTCGAAAAGATCTGAAAGGCCATAAGGCCGTTAGAAAAGAGCAATGATACATACTATACGACGTCCACATGAGTGAGTCAGCATGACCACTTCAAGAGTGCGATACGTCGTCTACTAAGAAAGATCAAAAAGAGCGAACCAGGATGATCGCTAGACGATTACAATGGGATATCCATTTGGAATGATTTGAAAAAGCGGATCGGGATGACCGCTGGAAGAGTGCAATTGGACGTCCACGAGAAGGATTTGAAAGATGGACTTCACACCAAGAGAGTGCGACGTCCACTTAGAAAGATCTGAAAGGGCGGATCGGAATGACCACTAGAAGAGTGCGAAAGGACGTCCACTAGCAAATATTTGAATTAGCGTTTTGGGATGACCACTTGAAGATTGTGGAGAGACTAAGTCCCCAGCAAGGTGACAGATAATCTTAGTTTCATCTTAGTGGGTACTTGCAAATAGTAGATGTCGCCACACAACGCAAACAAAGGGATTGTCCTTCATTGTATTTCTCTATGGGAAACCAATTTTTTGTTTCACCATGTGTGGATGACAAGACAGCAGGCAAGAATACTATATGAAAAGAGCGAATTTATGATTTTCGTGGTGAAATGAAATAAATCCAAACGAATTTAAACAGATTGATGGAGGTTCATTTTCTTATAATAGAACGTCAATAAAAACACTTAGCTGTCTTCTATTTTAGTTTGCTCTTGAATATAATCCGTGCTGGAAGATCCTGTGTGGACCATATTGTCTCGCTCCGCATAATCTTGGAGCAGGTCAACGAATTCCAAGAGTCCCTTTACTTGGTTTTCATTGACTACGAAAAAGCTTTCGACCGACTCAACCACGAAAACCTGTGGGGCGCCCTAAGGCGCAAGGGAGTTCCGGATAAAATCGTCAACCTCATCGAAGCTCAGTATGAGGCTTTCACGTGCAGGGTGCTGCACAACGGAGCCCTATCTGACCCTATTCGGGTAGTCGCTGGAGTGAGGCAAGGATGTATTCTATCACCGCTACTGTTCCTCATCGTAATCGACGAGATAATGGTTGGTGCGATCGACCGTGTGCCGAACCGTGGGTTGCTCTGGCAGCCTATTACAATGGAGCATCTAAACGACCTAGATTTGGCGGATGACGTTGCTTTAGTATCACAACGGCGTTCTGACATGCAGAGTAAGCTCGACGATCTCTCCGAACGCTCCTCAGCGGCAGGTCTCAACATCAACGTCAGCAAGACTAAATCGTTGGATATCAACACGGGAAATCCATCCAATTTTACGGTAGCTGGTCAGGAAGTGGAGAAGGTTGAAAGTTTCCAATATCTTGGCAGCCAGATAGCGTCGGACGGCGGAACCAAGAGTGACATAGGTGCACGGATCAAGAAGGCAAGGGCTGCTTTTGCGAGTTTACGAAACATCTGGAAGTCAAATCAGATTAGTCTCCGCACGAAGATCCGAATTTTCAACTCTAACGTGAAATCTGTACTGCTGTCCGCTAGCGAAACATGGTGCGTATCAGCGGAGATCACACAGAAGCTGCAGGTGTTCATCAACCGATGCCTGCGGTATATAATTCGTGCTTGGTGGCCTCACAACTGGATTTCGAATGCCGAGCTCCATCGACGGTGTCACCAGAAGCCGATATCGACAGAAATTCGGGAACGTAAGTGGAGGTGGGTTGGCCACACTCTACGGAAGAGCGGAAATGAAATCTGCAAACAAGCGCTGGATTGGAATCCAGCCGGACATCGCAGCAGAGGCAGACCCAGGGGCTCATGGCGGCGAAGCCTAAACAAGGAGATTAAGCAAGTCGACCGGAATTTGACCTGGGCCCAGGTCAAGGCGAAAGCAAACAATCGCCCAGGATGGAGATCTTTCACGTTGGCCCTTTGCGCCAGAGATGGCGCTCAGGACACTTAAGTAAGTAAGTCTTGAATATAATCAGGCTTCGCATTAATTTTTTTGATCATAGTTGTGTGATAAAGGCTTTCCATGAGACGTATGAATAAAAATAGTTTACTTTCCCGTGTTTCTATGTTCTTGTGTTCTTCTGATATGCAAGATTTCTGAAACTGAACTGAAAATACTCATGAATCACCAAAAAAATTTCAACGTTGAAAAATTTTCTGAACGGCTTAAAAATAGCATCCTTTAAGCATCTGCAGCATACATCAACATGTTTTTTGTAGCTATCAGGACATATTTTGGAGCAGGAGGCAGTAAACAATCATCGCAATATATTGATAAAATTGTGCATCGATTTTTATTTAAAAAAAAACCGGCTTGAGGAATATGCCATAAACATAGGAGGTATTAAGAATTCCATCCGTAACAAAATTACAAAATTGATTTTATTTTGCGGCGAGTAGCTGGGTGAAGACGAACATTTTGTAAATCCATTTAAAATTGAAGAAATAAATAAAATTATATTATCTTAATCTAAACAAAGGGTCTCACAAAAATATTCATAATGAGCTTCCAAAACGAATAAATTTAAGTGATTGTCTTTTGTTACACACGTTCGTATAATTAACGTTATTCCTCACCAAACTTAAAGCCTCAAGAAACAGATGAGGCCATAAGTTTGTATGTTCTATTATTTGATTACACAGTTATGAGAATAGTGACAATGACAACTCAAATACCATGAAGAACTCTGGAAAATTTAGTGATCATATAAGTGAAGTGGTTGTTAATCAGAATTTCTTAAAATATCAGCTAAAATTGAGTTTTGACCAATGGTCGTAGATCCGTTGTCTCAAAAAATTGAAAATTTGGTTAAATTGAACAATATAGGGGAAATGTATGTAATGTCAGCATAAGTGTCCCTAATTTGGGCCCATACAAAAATTAACCAATCGACTAAATGTTCAATAGCAACCAAAAATACCTATTAGTACCGTCCCAACAATTGAAATAGGCGGAACAACCAAACCTAAACAATGGCTTTAAACGCAAATTCCTCGAGAATCAAACCACTCCCACGCAAGCTAACAATGCCATTCTATAAACGAAGTTTGCTCTATCAGATGGTGGTGTTAGATTGCTTCGATGTGTTTTGATTATCGAGGAATTTGCGTTTAAAGCCATTGTTTACGTTTGGTTGTTCCGCCTATTTCAATTGTTGGTCTAGATGTTAAGTAAACTTCTTTACAACCAAAACCAGTCATAAAAGAGTTATACAAACTGTTGTAAGAAGGTTATAAGATACTGAAAGGTAAGCACATATCATTGCCAAAGAGACGCGTGTGTGAAAAAAATTACGAAAAACTGTTTTAAAACTTTTGTGTTGCTTGGGTAAAGACTGAAAACCTGCATCTCCACATTTATCATGAGAAGGAAATTGAATTATTGGTGGCACGGTAGCAGATCAGGATTTACCATGGTATGTGGTATGACCGTTTGTTTGAATTGAGACCCTGACAAATTTCTAGAACGAAGGAGCTGTGGATTGAACCCAAGGTCTTATGCTCAGTAAGCAGAAGCGTTCACCACTAGGCCACCGATCTCCTCACTATAAATCCATATAAAACAATTATAGTCGTGTTTCGAGATGTTGTTATTATCGTTAAATCTCAGTAGTGGCTTCAACGACAACGACAATGACAGCAAAGAAGCAATTCCGGATGAATGACCTTAGTTATGGATTCAATCATGATTTCCAACCATTTTACTGCGAATAACAGTTCTTATACGAATCTGTTCTGACAAAAATGGTCGAAAATCGTTTATGGAAAGCAAGTATGTAAGCATTTGGTCTCCACTTTGCAAATCTGTGAACCTTGGCTGGTATATGGAAATGATTTTAATAGTAGCATTCTTTGTACATGCTTGACTGATGACATTTCAATAAGTCCTGAATTTTTAGCAAAAGTTATTTTCATAACATGTACAATCGTGATTTAGGCATAGAAATACTGAAATGGCCTTTTGATTTGCTCAAGGACCACAC